ATAACCTTGTATGTTAACTTTTATTCATTGCGCGATAATCCGATGACGGATACCTGTTTCTCATCCAAAGAATGGAATGGAGCAATATTTCCTTTTAATTAGTTTTTCCCCATGGGTTTACACAGTAGAATTATTACATGATATTATTATAGTTTACAAGTGATTATGAAAATACAGTCAAGTGACTAAGAAATTGAACGTAGTTTATATTAATTATGATAATAAAAATATTTATTTGTAAAAATTTAGAACAAATGATCTAATGATTGGCTGATTATATATTTTTCTAGGCAATTCACAAAATATTTTGATAACAATCCAATTTCACAAAAGAATGAAAATCAAAATTGAATACGAAGACAAAAATGAGGGAAATTTGGGAAACATTCAAGAAAATAGAGTAAAGTAAATTTATGCTTTGACCCATTTTTAGATGACCTTTATTATTAACCAAAGTAGATAGAGGGGTTGTATAAGCTTCTTTTGATCAAAAACACTAGATATATCAATGAGAATTTTAAAAGCTTAGGAAATAAACAAAAACTCAACCCATAAACCATAAGGTAAACTATCTGTTCAAGTCAGCTTGAGGTCCTATATCAACCAAGTAAGTTAGAATAGAGCTCCCAAACACCCTTAATTGTCTTTTATTTAACCAGGCAGTATGGTGTTCAGTGATAAGATGGTAGGACTTGCTTAGTTCTATGCTATAAATGACGCACTTTACAAGAGCACTTGAATTTGTAAACGGACGTCAGTGTAATGAATTCTGGTAGATCACCTTCGTCGTTTCTATTATTTGGCAACTATAAAAGCACTCCACATTCAGCTTGGCTGTTTTCTAAACAACTTTTCTTAACCTTTGTATAAGTATAGATTGCCTATTTAAGCAATAACAATAATGATTAACCACCATTTTGTAAACTTATACTTGGTTATACCCCCTCCATGCTTTTTTCGACCTTAGGGACAGTGTTCTTTTGAAATAAAATTTGATACATATACTTTCAAGGTAAAAAATCACAAAACGTTTATTCAGAGTCAGTACTGAATAAGAGAATCAAATTATTAAATGGTCATCTAAATATTCTGGATAGTTCAAAAGAGTGAATTGATTAGTATAAAAATTATAACCAGAATGTTTTTATTAGTATGAAGATTAAAATATAACTTATTGATCTAATAAGTATTCAGAAGAAAGTATCGACTTGATGGTTGAAATATATTACTTTGGAAAGTTGAATTTCATTTTAAGACAGACTATCACCGTTTTGGTTATTACACTCCATACAAGATATTTACTTTCTACTGAGTATAAACAATTTTGCTGGGTTATTATATTGTTCACTGTATCAGTTGATACATATTGAAAAGAACATTGATCATAGACCAAGACCAACTAGAGTATTACAGAATAACAAACTCCACTCAACAGATAATTTCTTCTGGTCTAAGACCTGCTGAATAGGTTTCTGCATCATGTACATTACCGTTTGAAAAGAATCCACGTACGAAATACGTATTCAGTTTGCTTGACATCAATCTGTTTGCATTAATTTTCGAGTCTCTACAAGCTATGACACTTGTCAAATATTAATATTTTAGCATAATTCCACGTATACTTTGTAAACTATATTTTAGTTTGTATTCAATCAAATCTTTTTAAAAAAATATTTATTATTAATCAGAATTTGTAACTTTGTACCGTTTATAATCAGGATTGTAGTTGATTATTTTACATATGTATGCACGTATTCCAAGTTGATTACCTTAATTTAGATATATTATACGTTTTAGTGTGTTTGAATTCCGGTCAAAAAAAGGGACTAGGAAGTGTATTCCATTTTATTTAGGATAAGTGAAATCTTTAAAATGTTCATTAGGTATTTTGATCTAATAGCTTATAAGATAATTCTATGAAATTTAAATCAACAGACATTTGATTTAAATCTCAGTAGAGAACACCAGCACTGAGATACTTGTACATTCAACAGACGAGTCAATATGCTACGAAATGTGTTTCTGGGATTCCACTGCTAGTCATACACCTCGGAGTTATCAATATTTCTAATATTATCCCAAATATTATTTCACTTGTAAAAACGGTTTTAAAACAAATTTCATATAAATATTATGTGTAGAATGAATCTTGGATGAAATCTTTATTGCAACGAATCTATGCATAAAGTCTAATGAATTAAATTTGTAAGCGGTTAAGTTTTAGTATTAATGTAACCAGATTTCAAAGAACGAACAGACCAAATTTAACAGTATTTTTTCAAAAGTTTAAGCTAACATAAATCTGGATGATTAAGTTGAGATCGTTCAACCAATTATGTTATATATGTATTCGGCATTGATTATGTTGTTTGGAAACAGTAACCAATCTAACAATTATACCATATACTATACCAAAGAAGCAGAATAAATATAAAGCATTCATTTGAGTTATAAGTTCTTATATTCTTCATGTGAATATTACTTATTTCAGTTTTGCAAACATATCAGTCTTTCATTTGAATTAATATAAAAATATCATGGAAGAAAATATAGAAGTATGCTAACTATTCAACAATGAGTAATGAAGGCTCTATTATAAATTTTCAGTTCTAGTGGGCAGAATATATTACATTTTAATAAATAATTTAACATTTAATGTTTCATAATTTTTAATTTCAGTCAACTACTTAAATTGAGAAATAATCATTCCATTCAATTATCCTTTTGCAGATTGCAATAGAAGGAAAAGAAATCAGCTTATATATATACTGAGCTAACTATCAAACAAAACGTAGTTTTTAAACTAACAGAAGGTTTATATCTAAAATCAAAATAGATTATACTTTTCTTTTCATTGGGTTTTCTTAATTCTTTCAACAAACAGAACAAATGTGTCATTCACTATTCAACATCCATATGATGCAACGATTATTAAGTTTGACATTAAAGGAATGTTTGAAATATCAGAAAAAGGAATCAAAACATTAGTTTGTTTATCGTATACCTCAATATAATTTATTAATTATTTGTATGTTTACTAACAATTTTCCTAGAAAATTAATAATCAAATTATAGAATATGAGGAATTTGTTTTGATGTTTATATGGATTAGTTTGTTTTACTTATAGTAGAGACAAAACTGGAATAAAAAGCAATTTCGCATTAAAAAATAAAAACCCAAAAAATCAGTATTATTTTCTCATTGATTAGTGTAAGGGTAAATCGCGAAAATAAAAAAAATTAACGCGACAAAAAGTCTATTTTCAACAACATAGACATGTTTTTACAGGTACGAAAACCATGTGCATATGACTTCACTAAATGTCAGGTTATATTGTCTTTTTTCTCTCTTGTAATTGTAGCCTAATAGGCGACAAAAATAAAATATTATTGATAGTAATAATAATATTGATAACGTGTACAATAATAAAAAGGGAATACTTACAACTCTGTTACCTTACATTTTAAAATTACATTAAAAGATGAAGTGCACAATGTCCTGATAACAGTAAAACAATGAATTTTTTGGTTAAAATAGTTCATTAACACTAGCAACTTTCATCATTGAATCTTGGAAGAAATTACGACATTGAATTTGTCTTAAAATCTAACACAGAATGTATTTCACTTAATTATCTATTGAATAATTGCCATTTCAAATTTATAAAATATTATTAACCATAGATACTGAGTCGCAATCCACTTTTATGGATTTGATGTTGTACATTGTATGTATTTGTAAAATCCAATTGGAAGATAAAAAACACTTGACGCTCGCCTACAAATTTTATTTTAATTCATAGAGTTGTATTGTGAACCGTTATATAATCGACTGTATGATAAAGTAAAAAGGTACGCCATATAAGAACTTGACTGGGATCTCAGTCAAAACGAATTCTTAAACAATATAATTCAAGTATACAATACGATTTTTAAGAATAACTGATTAATTTCACATAAATGACACAAGGAAACTATTTATTATTAAACTTTTGACTTTGATGATTATCAAATTGTCTTATCGAAGATGATTGTTAATTAAATTTAAATCGAATTATTTTGTTTTTCGACAGAAAGTATGTTCCTTATTAAGAAATAATGTTTTAAATTTTAAACTGACCTATCAAAATATAAATACTCCTAAGAATCATCTTCCTTATAATGAATTTACAATAATAATAATACACTTCTTTATGTCAAGGTAGATAACGTTTGAGGTAATTTTCAAGTTTTATTTTTACTGCAATAAATGTCAAAGTATCCTAAATGTTTAGTAATCATTGACTTTTCTCTATAAATATCAAACTATTAAACACGCCCTTGTATCGTTAAGTGATTTACTAAATGTAATGGATTATATGTGATAAAAAAGATTTTATTGTCTGAGAATTTGATGAACTATAAGGAATAAATAAAAAAATATTTGTTATTGACTCAGTTTCTCAGTGAATAACATCTCCATATTTGAAATGATCCTTACCAAATTCCATCTGAGGTTAACACTGAGAAGCTGGTACATCCAAATAAACGGTTGTAAACATCAGCTACTTCTCAAAGTTTAATTATTGCGTGATAACTTCATTTATATGGAAGGATTAGTCTTGGTTAAATATCAATATCACTGATTTTGGTGGGTTAATTCAAATATAAACTAAAAGGTATCATCATTCTTGTAAAGGTTACAGGAGCACGTTTCTGTTGAATGTAAATCAGTGTGAAATATAAAATTTTTGAAAGTCACCTCCAACCGCTTTGGATACTCTACATTCGACATCCATATTGTAACGTTAAATTAAATAGATCAGTATTTAATGCATTTTCACAAATGACATTGATATTTTAACCGTCTAGCTGTTACGGAACAGTCACATTCCATAATAAAGATAAATTTCTAAGAATGCTTTCTATACCGAAATTAATATATATTCTAAAACATACATTCATATTAGTTTCACTAATAAAAATATACTTGTTTTAATGATTAGAAATTTATTAATTACCGTGTTTCATCGCCCAAACTTTCAAATTCACCAGAATATTGTTTCAAAACTTCTTTTGATTGACTTTGAGGAAAACGATTATGAAATTCGTAGTTTGTAATCATATTTAGATATGGTTTGTATTGACTCAATCCAACAGAATGACTATTATTACACTGTGATGAATTATTTAATTGTGTTGACTTATTACTGTAGATATTATTATGTAAAGACATTTATTAAGTGGATCACTGGGTTGAACTATGTAAGTTGATAATAATATGATCGACTGTGAACTTCTTGATGTTTAGTTTGAATGATGATAAACAACAGTTTGTGGTCAGCCATATGTCTTGTTTGCCTATTTTTTCATATTACCGAAAATGCTGAGAAAATTGTTGTTAATTAATATATTACAGTTGTTGAATTTACCCAATGTCTATTTTAATGTTTTTAAATTTTACGTAAGGAAATAATTCATTGTGTTGATAGGGAAATATTCCAAATAGAATCAAAAAAGGTTTGCAACAATTTGTAACAAATAAATTTAAAATTGGAAATTCATCATCATTATTGCAAAAACAAATATTTATGTATGAAAATTTATAAATTATGACTTTGAATTCGTTTGATTGGTTTATTTCTAAAATGTATATAATTTGTGGAATAAAAGAACTGTGATTGGTTAACTTTCGGATAACTTTATATAATGTAGCCCTTTATATAGAAGTAATACAACGAGTGAAAAAAACAACTGATGATTAAGACAAAGATTGAATATATATGTATAATGAAAATCTGATAATGAATTTAAAAAATACGCAAACATTAAAAGAAGGGAGATTGACTTATTTTTTAAACAAATATCGTTTTCACTCTGATACAATTTAGGCCAACTTTTCTTGATCTGAGCGAAATGAATAGAAATGTGAATTTTTTGCAACACCACCATTTGGCTTCATTAAGAATTTCAGTTATTCTAAGAAATCAATAGATAAACATAAATTTTAAGTAGTTTGAAATCTTTTTTCGCGCCATATATATATATATATGGTTGACTTTTAGATATTAAGTGATATGTAACAATTTAATACCATTAAAATCACGTAACGACATATGTTAGATAACTGTTGAAAATCCAGGATCAATGAAATGTAGTTCAAGTCAGAGACCTCAATTTCTAATGAAGCTAAAAAGACTCAGGTTTCGTATGTAGTGCTTAATATCTTATCAGACGAGTCAGCAACCGATCACTGGATGCCAAATTTGTGGTCTAGAAATTAAGCGTTCACCTGCGAGAGTGAGGGTCACGCGGTAAATTCCTGGTAGCGGAATCGTAGACAAGTACTTCTGTGGCGTCCTACACAATGATTTACAATGCTTCGTATGCTATATGGACTTTCGGTTAACATTTCATCCGAACTATTATTTCCCTCACACCCAGTGTCATCCGTATTCACTCTGATTACCAATCTCAAAATTCGATTTAATTTATTCAAGTTACCAGTGCTTATTAGTCATTTCAACACTAACAATTTCATTTCATTTTACAAAATATTGTGAATACGTGAACTGTGATGTGGAACAGCGTTTTTGCCTTAAGCGTTTCCCATTTTTGGACTACTAATTTGAATACATAACTGTAGAATATGATGGCAGTTTATTGAAACAAATATTCTGCATTCATATGTCTGTGTTTTGAATGAAACGATTATTTCGGATCTTACTACACATAAATAAATAATTCATACATATTTGCTAACACCAAGTCCAGATCACAGACCGATGTAATTTTAATAACCGGTAAAACTCTGAAATCACTTGAGGTCTGTTTCAACCAATTATCGGAATCATCAACAGTGTACATCCACCACTTTGCCAAGAAGAATCGAAGACGGGACATCCGGCGTTTCGCGCGAGCACTCAATCTCCAGGCCACTGAGCCAGGAAACTCTTTGTTTAAAGGTTTCCATTGTATTAAAAATACATGTACATAAGATAGGACTGGAAGAATTTAGACTGTCCTCACGACTAGATATACACAACTTTTTATTTGCATGATTTTCCGTTCAGTTCAAACATATTGATGCTAAATAAAAAGGAAGTTTTACACCATGGACTATGATAGTTCATGGGGTTAGTCTGCATCCAACGGACAGCATCGATTCAACGAAGACTGAAAAACAAGCTTCATTGTCAAGTATCAACAAACATATCACCTACATTCATTATCTTCAAATGACTGCTATCTATCACTTAGTGAGCATTTGTGTCACGTTTGGGTGCTCCAGATTATAATAAAATTGTAAATAAATATCTGCCTGTTATGTACTGATTCCTTACCTGTTTGTAGTAATTTGAGAAGAGTTGAGCTTGAAAACATTAAGGTAAGTACACGGTTCTCAGTTTGGGGTTGTGGAGACTACTGAATTTCATTGAAATCGTGAAAGAATCAATGACAGACCACCACTTTGATGGCTGTTTCGTTCTACTAGGGGACTTCTCAGCAATGCGCATCCACGATCCCACATATCGCACTCAGTCCCAGTACATTGTGTCTCACGCACAAAAGTTTAACCTTAAGACAATTGAGCCGGCATTCAACGGTGTTAGTATCTAACTTCAGCCAATTCAATAAGTAGATGGATTCAAAGAAGTATATGAATCGAGAATTCAGGGGAGAAAATTTTCTTTTCGGCTGTACATTCGTATTTACAGTTATATGAAAAGTATATATCTATAGAAGGACAGAAAGGATTGCATAATAGACTGATTCATGACTCCTATCTATCAGGCTGGTAGGTGATGGTTGTCGTAGAGTCAGTAACCACACCTTGTAAAAATAACGATGTGGAAGAAAATGCCATGATAGGGTTCCTTGGAGACCACTGGTTAGAGCCCTATTCTCTAAAAGATTTAACGGGCTTCGTTGTATAACGAGCTAACTGATATCCTAGGCGTCAGGTAGTTTTTAGATATTCATTGTTCTACTGGTATTACTTTCACTCAACCATTTACATTGTATGTACATTCCCGATATTCACATATAACTGAACTACTTCATTGAAGCGAACTGCATTTTTGTTTAATGATTAGTTGTTATGTTTTTGTAATAAGCCTTGGTTTAAATCACGAACTGATCTCAGCCAGACCAATGCTGTGGATCTGTAAGCACGAGATTTCCGTTTCTTTTCAATATGGAAGTTTTCATCAGTTTGTACCCATGACCTTGAATTCGGGAATCTAAGTGTGAAACTTCCGACTCTCACGTGAACTCATAAATGAAACAGTGTTTTGGGGGTTTAGTGTTTTGTGTCAGTAGTTTTATTTTTATTATAAACCATTTCATAATCATTCAGTTTTAATTCAGACAATTAATATTAGAGCCAACATATACTTACAAGCATTATCCGACTACTGTTCTATATTAGACGAGACGGTTTATAAGTTTTAATATTGATGATTGAAACAGTTTCAAAATACCAGAATAATGTTAATTTAACCACAAATAAAACGTTTATACATAAATGGGTGAGAATAAAACAGGATAACTATTAGTTATGTATGGATTGTATGGAACAATACGTTATATTAGGCTTGAAGTAAATAACGAAATAAATTTGTATTGTATTTTCCAATGATATGCATAAAAATTTCATCTGTATAAGTGTGTTTGCCTATTATTACTTTTTTGAATAAAAAGCCAATTGATTAAATGACATGAACGAGAGGGGAAAATAGTAAATGTTTTATAATTTGGAATAGAATACAATTTATCAACGACAAACTAAGGTCTGTTTCCCAAATGCTTTTTACTCGAATTACTAGAAATGAAATTATAAATCTCGCATTTATTTTTAGAAAAATCATGGAATAGCATAACATTCATTCTGTTGATCAATTAATAAAAAGCAATAACTGTAGGTTATGAAGAGTAACATTTAGGGAATAAAAATATTAAGCAAGATTACCGGTAACCATAACGTAAATTATTCTATGCTTCATATTCAGATGACATCAAAAACAGTGAATCAGCAAAATTAGAAAAGTACAAAAAATTGTTATTCAAAACTCTATTCAAGAATTCCAATAGTAATGTCAAAAGTGCAGAGTTTAAAAACATCATGTGACCTAGCCAGATGAAATTCTTATATATTAGTATGCATGACAATTCCTTTCTAAAGTAAGAAAATAATTTAAATAATTGAAGTCGTTTCACTACGAATACCAGGTCGAACATAGCAGTATGTAATGTCAAAGCGAGATGTTATGATCATTCTGGTTGATGATGATCATGTTTCGGAACTAAATAGGATCATTGTTAAGAGAGAGCCAGGATCCGATAATGAAACAAGTAGTTGTAACTGAAACATAACGTTAATGTCGCACTTCATTCATCGAATGGAAAACATACTTTTATCAATATTTAAATTAAGGGGAGCCAGAATTAAGCAATATCGTGAAGAAAACATATTTTAACACATGTATTTTTTAATAAAACTTGTCATTCAAATAATCAATGAATCATAGCTAATTATTATGAGTTAAAAGTTACACTACTCATTAGTAGTAGCTCAAAAATAGAAACCTATTTTTTAGAAGTTTATAGTGACGTTTTACATCACTGACTGATATGAATTAAGGTCTCTCTGAAAGTCGGTAAGCACAGGAGAGATATTTCGTTCCAGCATAGAGAGTCTCCGCGATAACTGTCCTTTATCACTAAAGAAATCAAACCCAGTACCTTTGGAAATCATGGAGATTGTTTTGTTTTTAATTAACCAGAATCAACTGATCCACACACGAAACAGAGAGATTTAAGATATAGTGGAGTAACGATTTATTGTCACCTGTGTTTTTCTCTGAACATGAAAAGTCATAACCATTCACGAACTCCTAATGGATTATCTTTATTCATCTCGAAGCTGTTATCTAATGAATAGAAGATAACAGATATTTTTCAGTTAACGTTTATTTTATCCAAATCAGTGTCTATCAAGTAAATTTGTTACTTGACTGAAGTTGCAAAAATGTAAATAAATATTCAGTATCCAGTTTTAAAATATGCATACATCTATGTGTGATATTGTTACGTCTTCCAATCTAAATAAAATATAAATGTATGTCAAATGTGATTATCATTCAGAACACCATGCTATATTAATCATTCACATCCGTTGGTTGTTTGGATCTTCCCATCAACGTTTAGAGCTACAATTGGTCATTGTCATTGTGGATTGCCTCGGTATTGTCATCAAATCGCAATCAGTTTAGGCAGAGATATAGCTATCTAAACTGAGTAGCTAAGTGGATTATGAGAACGGTAATCCGTTTGAGTCCCTAAATAAAAATCAACTCTCGGGTGTAGATATATCCATCTGACTAGGCGCAAATAGAGCGAGCGTATATCTTAGATTCTGCTTCGACCCAGTAACCATTTCTGCTCAAAACACTAACTATTATATTCAATATTTGTATATTCTTTCTACATGCTAACTGAATAATTAAAGTCAACATTACGAGAAGTTATCTAGGAAAAATGTTTGGAAAATAATCATAAAGT